ATAATAATAAAGCTAATAACTAATAATAAGGCTAATAATGATGATAATACTAATGATAGTATATTAAGAGTAGTAGTATGAGTTAATGACAGTAGTGGCAATAATGATTATATCATTATTATTGATAACGATTATAAAAAATATTGTGATACTGATACTGATTATGATGATGATGATAATAATAATTATTATGTTGGCAGTAATAATAATCATGATATCATATAATGATAAATAACAGTAAAAAAGTAATGATAATGGTAATAATAATATAATAATGATAATAATAATAATGATAATAATAATAATAATAATAATAATAATAATAATAATAATAACAATAATAATAATGACGATGATGATGGTGATAATGATAACAATAACCTTGATGATATTTATGATTGTAATTATAATGATAATGACAGATAATGATAATAGTAATGATCATAACAATGATGATTATACTGGTAATAATGATGACAATGATAATGAAATCATTATCATCATCATATTCATCATAATCATCATATCATTATAATTGTCATCACCATTACCATCATCATCATAATGATGATAATCATTATCATAATCACCATCACCATCATTATCATAATAATAATGATACTGATCATAATGATAATAATAAGCGCAATGATTATCGAAGTTTAGTAGTAATACCAGTAGTAAGAAAATCACAATGATAATGATAACAGTGGCAGCAATTATAGTAATACTGTCAACGTATCTAATAGTATTAATATTACCTCTAACACTCTTATTATGGCGACCAGATGTGAACAAAATACCTCCTTTTTGTTTTCCTTACTTCACCACACACCGTAGAATGAGAGTCAGAATATAACCATCTTAATCCCTCTATTATCGTATAAGAATTCGTTAAAAAAAAAAAAAGAATGGACAGTATTTCGTCTCTCGTTTTCTACAGTTTCTGCACTAATTTCGTATCTCCATTATTTTTAGATTTCCCTTGATAAATATTAATATCCCCTGTGATTCCCGGTTTGTTGCCTCCAGGTGGCTGGATTACGGAACTTTGGGGTGCTGCATCCAGGTATGGGAGATTTAGAGTTTACCATATTACTGTTAATATATATATATATATATATATATATATATATATATATATATATATATATATATATATACCATAGAGTACATATATATATATATATATATATATATATATATATATATATATATATATATATATATATATATATATATATATTTATTTATTTATTTATTTATTTATTTATTTATTTATTTATTATAATATATAATAATATATATATATATATATATATATATATATATATATATATATATATATTATATATGTGTGTGTGTGTGTGTGTGTCGTGTGTGTGTGTGTGTGTGTGTGTGTGTGTGTGTGTGTGTGTGTGGTGTGGTGTGTGTCTGTTATGTGTATGTGCATGTGTGTGTAGGGAAACAAACGCAGTTAAACAGCTGCTTATGCTAAAATGCACAATATGACCGCGTATGTATTAGGAAACAACTACGTGACAGAAGCGCCGTTCCTCCGCCCTTCCTTCTCGCCCCGCCCGTTCGGCCCTTCACAGAACCGCCCGTATCCGAACACCGCGGCCCGGTTGCCTGTTCGGAAGAGATTAACCGGATTTTCGCTCCTCCTGAATGGCAGAGGAGAGCAAGGAGAGGATTATCCTTGTCTGTCGTCTCATTCTCTCCGGCTTTGGGCTTGAGGGCGGAGAGAAAGCCGCTTCACTCCCCCCCCCCCCCCCCCCTGTCACCTCTTCTCCCCCCCTCCCCCCCCCTCTCCGCCATCTCATCAGGATCTCCTAATTATTTGCTTTTGGGAGGATTTTGTTCAAGGTCTTCGGGGTGTTGGGGGCGCGTTTCTCTCGCTCGGGGTTCGGGTGCGGTGGGTTATGGGTGGGGTGGGGGTGGGGGTGTTTTGATGCTCTCTATATCTGTCTGTTTGTCTATCTGTCTGTCTGTCTCTTTCTGTGTATCTTTTTCTCATTACCTATCACTTTCACTTTCATTGTTCTATCTCAGTCTTCATT